GGGGGGTCACCCTGAGAGCAGGGGGGGCTCACCCCAGCACTGGCATCCCCACGCGGTGCCCCGCCGGTGGCTGTGCGACCTTGGTCCTTCTCCCCCCTGCGCCTCAGTTTCCCCATCTGTAAAGTGAAGGGGGTGAGCGGACAGGAGCTAGTGTCGTGCAGGACGGGGAGCGTGTATCTGGCTCGTCTCGCAGCGAGAAAATTCCCGGTGCAGGAAGCTTAACTGAGCCATTAAAAGCATATCAGTGGAAACAACCCAAGTGCCCATCAACAGATAGATGGATAAAGAAATGAGTTCCATCCGTACAACAGAATGTGATCCAGCCTTAGAAAGGGAGGACTTCCTGCCGCCCGTCACCGCGTGGACGGACCCGGAGGACGCCGTGCGCAGTGACAGGAGCCGGACACAGAAGGACACGTCCCACGTGACCGCACGCACAGGGGGTCCCCAGAGGAGTCCCGTCCACAGAGACAAAGTAGATGGTGGGAGCCAGGGGTGGGGAGTCCGTGCTTCGTGGGGACAGAGTCTCAGTCTGGGGAGATGGAAAGTTCTGGAGGCAGGTGGCGGGGGCGGCTGAGCTGTGCGCTTAGAGGTGGTGAAAATGGTGTTTGGTGAATTTTACTTCCAGTTGAGAAAAAAAAAAGCACACGAGGTCACTGACATTCATCATGAAACGTCAGTCACGGTTGTGCTGACTCTCCGAATGTAGAAAAACACAAAATTCCCATCAAGACAGGAATTAGGGGGAAACGAACACTGACATCGTTGCCCGGATCCTTAGGACTCCCTCAGCCAAGGGGCTCGAAGGCTTTTCCTGCGAAGGGCCGGGCAGCAAGTGATCTAGGCTTCCCTACATCGTGTAGGTTCCCAGGGAGAGAACACGTACCTGCAGGTTCCCCGCGGCCCAAACCGGAAAACTTTACGGACGACGAAAGTTTCGGTGTCGTGCTTTCACGCGTCACAAAACGGTTGCCCTCCCGGAACTCTTGAGAGGCCTTTTCACAACGTCAAAGCCATCTCGGCTCTGGGGCTGGCCTCTGCCACCCGTGTCCTGGCCGGTAGAAAGGCTGGCTTGGGCGGGCGCGGTGGGATTTGCCTCGCTTGGTACAGATTTCACTCGCCAGCGTTCAGGGTCCGTGTTTCGGTGGTGGTCTCGCTGCGGGAACCTTTCCCGGTACCTGGAAGGAGGTCTGAAAAGAGTGACAAGGGCGGAGTTTGTCCGTCCCGTGCCCTACTTCCTCCTATTCTCTCCTTCCGACCCCCATCCCTCCCTCTGTATCTCGTCTCGTCTCTCCCTCCCTCCATCTCTGTGGGTCTCTGTATCCGCACCTTCCCTTCCCGGCTCTTCTCCACGCACCTCTTCACCCCGACT